ATATAAACCCCCCCGAACCCCCTCGATCAGATTCCAGTCTGTAACTCCCTCCCCGGGGGGGGGGGTATCTGTTACCAAGTTGGTAAATCCCACGTCACACATATAATGGGAACGAAAACAGAAGTTGCTGGAAAAGCTCAGCAGGTCTGGCAGCATCTGTGGAGGAGAAAACAGAGTTAACGTCTCGCGCCCGGTGACCCTCCCTCAGAACTTTACGCGTACAATAGGTTTGCGGGGGGTGGGGGTCACGATACATGGGACAGCGCCTAGTCTGAGGTGACTACGCTCCCCCCCCAACGCCGACACCCCCTCAAAACACACCTCCCGTCCCCTCGCATGCACTCGCCGTATCTGTTCCCCAAATCTCGAGATACCAGGCCGAAAGCCCCGTACCAACCCCTGGGAGCCTGTTGCTCTCTCGGTGAGGATTTAGGAATGCTTACATGGCGAGTGCGGAGCGAAAGGATTGCACCGATCCACTGAAAGCTACACCTGGCATGCGGATAAACTCGTCTTTCCTGTCGTCCGATTCAGCTCCTACGGAAATTCGACACGGTCAGGCGGCGCCCCAAGGGAGTTGTGACATCTGGTCTCTCCCGGAATGGCATCTCAGTATTTTCGTTCCCCACCTCCACCAAGTCAAGGAAGGACAGGTCGCCCGATGCCTCACATTGCAAACCAGCCGTACACAGGGAGCGGGCGCTGTCGGAGGGTCGGCGCTGAGGGAGCGGGCGCTGTCGGAGGGTCGGCGCTGACGGAGCGGGCGCTGTCGGAGGGTCGGCGCTGAGGGCGCGGGCGCTGTCGGAGGGTCCGTGCTGAGGGAGTGCCGCACTGTTGGAGGGTCTGGGCCGAGGGAGCGGGGCGCTGTCGGAGGGTCAGCGCTGAGGGAGCGGGCAGTGTCGGAGGGTCAGCGCCGAGGGAGAGGGCACTGTCGGAGGGTCAGCGCCGAGGGAGAGGGCGCTGTCGGAGGGTCAGCACTGAGGGAGCGGGCACTGTCGGAGGGTCAGCACTGAGGGAG